TCTACACACACACACACACACACACACACACACACACACAGAGAAAGCCAGAGAGAGACTGGTCTGCCCCATTTGTGGAAAATACCATCAACATCCCCCTATCTTTGATTTGCTATTAATTTCAGCAGGACTGTTGTAGAAAGAGTATCTGGAAGTATCGCATCTCGCTTGATACCTGAGATATTCTTCCATCTTTTCTTGAATCTGTTTGACCTTGAGTTGAAGTACCAAATATTACATTTCTGGATTTTTTGGTTTAGAAAGCAAGCTTATCCTTAAGCAGAAAACAGCTGTGAAAATGCTTACTTCAGTTTTACCTTTTCACTAAAAATATAAATCATACTTGTCTTGAGAGACAGGTACTGTCAGCTCTTTAATCAATGGAACTAAAGAAAACTATGTAAAAAAAAAAAAAGTGAACTTTGTATTCTTTGACAATACGTGTCCCCTTACAATTCTGTCTATTTTTTCCAATGGACTAATAAAATTATTGAGAACCAGCTTTCTTGATGAGGGTATTATTTATTTATAACTATTAAGTATCCACTAGGAGTTACAGATTGGGTTCACACATTGTATTTTACCACAATTTGTTTAGCCTTAGTTTGTTAAATAAATTACAGGTAGTTGGGTTCACACAACACATTAAACTATAAATTAATTATACTGTGACTTGGAGTAATGTGTAAAATTCATTACTGCCTACAGGAATTTTTCTGAAGATTGGGGAAGGGAAACACAGTTTCATGGTGATATGTGATTATAATTTGTGCAAATACTGTAAATTAATACAACACTGTAAATTAATACAACACTTCTGTGCATTTTCTTGATTTATATGCATTATACTAAAAAACCATATTACAAAATACTTGAAGTCCTCACAAATGATAAAACCACAATTCTTTGACAATATTAAAGTCTTTGTAAGTGGCACAATGGCTGTTAACAGAACATTGTTCTGAGTGATATTTTGGGCCATTATTTGCTGACTCAGCTATGTGACAAGCACAGCTTACAAAGCTTTTCCTTTGCACCACTTCTACAGACTTGAGAATGTCCTGATGACTTCAGATTAGATTTCACTTGGGACCTCATCAGTGAATCCTATCCCTTTAATCTGATTTTAGTCTATTTCCCAATCTCTATAAACAATTGACTAACTAAATTTTCTCTGCTTCTAAATGCAGAGAATGTTCTGCTTTTTTTTTTTTTTTTTTTTTGCTCCTTCAAGTCAGAATAGACTCCTGGTGACTGCCTGGACAAGTCCCTGCAATCTTCTTGGCAAGATTGCAGAAGCGGTTTGCCACTGCTGCCTTCTTCCTAGGGATGAGAGAGAGAGTGATTGGCCAAGGTCACCCACCTAGCTTTGCGCTTAAGGAGGGACTAGAACTCCCTGTCTCCTGGTTTCTAGCCTGGTGCCTTAACCACTATGTACACCAAACTGGCTCTCGCATACACTTTGCCTCATCCCAACTCCTAGCCACTCAGATTGGGTCTCTCTCTCACACTCACACAGACACACACTTATGTAAGGAGGATCTACTCCACAACCTGCAATCACAATTGCCGTTGTTGGGAAAGTGCCTGGCAGCAAAGCTACACTTCCATGCCATCATCAAGAATGTCTTGATCATCAAATACTTTCCCCCTCATATTAAGGGGTTTTTCTGCCGAACAACCAGACAAATGCACATAGCATGTACTGAAAACACTGGGGGTGGGGGAGGAGCCAGCCATTTATTTTCCTTTCCACTGGAAATAGGGGCAGAAGGATTTTGTTACTCCAGGAGCCGCCATAGCTTAGACATGGGGCACGAACTACAGGTTTTGTATTCCCTAACTACTCAGCTGGAAGGAGCACTGAATGGGGCTCTGTTAGTCCTTCGAGGTAGTCCAGACAAGAAACACAACTATGAGTACTAGCTCTGTCTTTGTTGTAAGGTTACATTAACAGAATATTGCAAGACTGAAAGTATTTCTTCCCTTCTTTTACTCTCTGGAAAACTAGGAAGGTCCCTTCTGAAATGCTTCCCATGCCCCCTCTTCTGTGGACTGAGATACTGTATCTTTTACATGACAGTTGTCCAGTCTGTGGTTCTTCCTCCTGTCTCCCCAGGTCATTCCCACATATCATTACAGGCTCTCAGTGTTATTTGCCCCTCTTCAACATTTTAAGGTCAGCAGCAATGATGACAATCACACAGCCCACTTCAAAATACCTTAGAGGGACTGGAGAATAGAAAGGTGCCGTGGGGAAATGCCCGCAGCTACAAATGTCATGAAAAATGTTAAGCAGCCACTGCCTCCCACCATCCCTTTCTGCATTAAAAAGCTAATCATAGCAGTCAGTCTTGAGAGATTGCATTTATTATTAAAACAAGGTACCTGAAATATGTCAAGAAATAATTCGTTAAGAATTTCAGTAATTCTTGAAATGCTTCAAGAAATAATTTGGTAATTCCTCAAGAGGTAATTCTATAAATATTTCTACCATTCTTTTCTGAGTACTGTATGTACTTTAGAGCCATTATAGCAAAGCTTAACCATAGGACTGATCTTGCTCTTTTCACAGATGTCTTATTCACTGTAGTTTTTCCTCACTTCTGTCAAGGAGGCAACATAAGGGCAGCAGCAAGTCAGGGCTCTGTGACCTTTCCAATTGGAACTTTAATTAAAGACTGGGAAGAACAGAAATGTGACATTTTGAGTCTCTCAGTACAGTTCCATGAAGGACATTTAAAGCAATGGCTGAGATAGTCACCATCTTTCTCATGTGCGTTTTGATAGCACGATGTCTTAAAATCAGACTGAAAAAATTAATTTAAATGAGTTTCTAGGGAAAAAAATCAAAGTTGTCAAAAACGGTATTATTCAGAAAAGGGCAGATGCATCTGTTACCAAACAGCAATGTTGTCAAGAATGAAAAGCCCCCTAGGATTTCAAAGTTTTGCCATATTTGGGCAATATCAGGAGTTCCCAACCTGGGGTGCCTGCACCCCAGGGGGTGCAAGATAGAACTTCAGGGGGCGTGACAATTTTATGCACTGAGCTAAAAGCTTATTTTTTTAAGTTCAATTTGTTCACCCATATTAGAAATTAGACTTCATCTTCAAATATGATATTACTTTTGTAGGGGGTGCAAACATTAATCAAACATTTCCTAGGGGTGTGGAGCATAAAAAAGGTTGGGAACCACTGGTCAATACAAATCTTAAAACTTGGACAATCAGCTTTTGCCCTTCTTCAATGTACATAGTTGTGTGAGCAAGCCCTAACTACCTTAATAGATACTTAAGGAGCAAGGTTGGCTTTTGATCACTAGGACTAAATTGTTAAGGTGTTTTTTTTTTTAATGGCCTATTTTGACCTGTTTCAGAGGGATAGTTTGCAAAGCATTTTCTCATTGTTATTTCCTTCCTCCACAGAAGGAAAATGTTTCATCCTTTATTAACACAACAGAAATAAAAATAGTAATGTCAGAATTTTATCCCCATAACAACATTTATCTTGATTCTGTCAAGGGACCAATAACATAGTTTGCACTAAACTCTTGTCCTAGAGGGCTTTGCAAGTGATCCTATCACTATGTCTGAAGATGCAGATGAAGAAACAATAAAAAGAGCAACTTGAGGGAAAAGCATGAATATTATTGACCACATAATAAGAGGCAAATAACCTTGACCATGAGATGGGAAGCAGAATAATGCTGCTACCAAGATCTTTTAAGGGCAATCTGGCTGCACCACAATCCATGTTTCCACATAAAATAACTTCCCTTTGCTTCATTGTAGCATTCAACCAGTTCTTTCAGTTCTCTACCAAACATCTCCAACCATTGTTTCAGGGTTTAGAAATCCCACAAAGACATAGAACAGAAGAGTAATCGCTCATGCAATTTATGCTGAGCTCTAATTTAGCATTGCTTGATTAGCATAATTACTTTTTACCTTGTTCATGCTGATGAATGCACTCTCAGTTTAACACATTTCTTTCATTTTTTTGATGGCCAGTCTTTTTTTTTAAAAAAAATCTTATTCCCATAGCATAGTGAATCACGAATTAAAGGATGGGAACATCTCTTCTCTCTTCTTCAGGTATTCTCCATTATGATTTGTGCAGTAGGTCCAATATGGTTTTGATAGCATTACAATGATACCTTATGCATTTTCATTATTTTGTAAAAAAGAAAAAAAAAGGGGAATATAAATATATCACTAGAGCTGTTGCCATTTTGTTAATTATTGTGACTGTTATTTTATGCAGTAGCAGAGTAAACATACAGGTAGTCCTCATTTAGTGACTGCCTTGTTTAGCAACCATTCACAGTTACAATGGTGATGAGAAAGTAACTTTATAACCAATTCTCGCATTTACAACCCTTGCAGGTCTGTAAAGCAAAGGAAAGCTGAAGTGAGATCATAAGCACAGTCATGGTTTCACTTAGTGACCACTTTGCTTAATGACTGAGTTGCTGGTCCCAACTGTGGTCACTAAACAAGGACTACCTGTAGCACATTAAAGACATCATAAGTCAAAGGCAAAAAATATATCCCTGCTTATAATTTAAGGACTAAACTAAATTAAATAAAGTTGCTTTGTTTCACTTGCCTCATCCATTCACAGACATTTGTTATTTAACAGATTTGCTATTCTGTCTTTCAAAAGTCATTTAATGTAATTTATGAGAGAAATACATAAAAAGTATAGGTAAATAAATTAAAACCCAGCTGAAACCAGATGCAATACTAGATTCAAATGGATGGCCAAAATAAATCAAAAAAGAAACTTGGCCCAAAAACATCATAAGCGAGCCATAAGAAAACTTCTCTGACCTCAGCAGCTGGCAGATACTGAAGACAGACTTCAGCACTCTGACAAGCTGCTTTTAGGAAGATTCATTCCTAACCAAAAGGAATAAGACAGGTCTTCCCAAGAGATCTTGCTGCCTTAGATTATGTTTTCCCTACATTAAAGAACATAGTAATCAAGGCCAGCCAATTCATTGCAGCATCTGACCCCCCCTCCCCAAATATACATTATCTACCAATCCTGATATAGTAGCAATACAATTTTAATCAAATAAGTTAGTAATAATTTGTTCCCCTTCATGGCACCCTAACTATGATAGGACCAGCCAAAAAAGCATGGGTACAGTTGATAGAATTGCTGGGAGGACGGTTCAGTCTCCATCACTTCTTGATCTCCCTTGATCCATCCTTTCCAGCAGTTTTCTTCACAGCTTGACTTACATGCATTATCAACACCCTGCTGAGAAGAAAGAGCCTGCAGTGATGTCTCATAGTGAGAAAAAAGAGAGGGAGAGAGAAAGGGTATCTTAGCTCTTCTTGTCTACATACACACAACTATCAGTGGGGGAGAGATGTGAATGTGAATAGTGACCCCATTAGCCAGAGGATAGCTTTGGATCAGCACTCTAGTGGAAGGGATGTCCTGTCCCAGGCCAAGCACACTCTATCACATGGGGAGATGGTTGCAAACTTTTACTAAACTTTTTTTTTTTTTTTTTTTGCAAAATGAATAAATGAGCGGCAAGAATGCAAGGGCAAACACACGCATAGGCTGTAAAGACACAAGTCCCCCAAAGTTTAGCAAGCTTGCCTGGAAAAAGTCTCCATCCAAAGCAGCGAGCAGAACAGTAGTCAGGCGAGGTCCGAGGGTCAAAACTTTGTAGCAGGTTCATCAGCCGGTCCAGTTCCATAGTCAAGGCCTGGAGGTTCGCAGATCAGGAGTCAGGCCACGCGGAGTGGGAGGTCGCGGTCAACGGAGAGGCTGAACCTTGCCGCTCTTCTTAAATTAGAGCAGCCCCGGTGTGGCTCCTTCCTTGCAGAGCGCCTTTGCTCGGCTGTCTTCTCCACACGGCGAGCCCTCTTCATCTTCGGAGTCCGGCGGCAGCTGTGCCTGCTGGTTACCGGACAGCTCCTCCTCCTCTGCCTGCAGCTGCTCAGGCAGCAGTTTGTCTGGTAACTCCGGAGCTGGCTGCTCATTGTTGGTCCCCTCTTCTGAATCTGAGCTCACCATGACAGGGGAAATGGAAGACACAAGAACAGGCCTTCCTGTCACTTGGGTTAACAATCTGAAAACAGTCACCCAGCCTCCCAAACTATTGGCTGACTCCCAGCAGGAGGTCTTAGCACGGGCAGATCAGTGAGGTATATTTTCCATCTGGTCTACCCAAGCTCTAAAATGTATGGCCTCCGTGGCAGGTAGCTTGCTCCACTTTGTATATTGCTCAGAAGTAAACAACAGCCACATTAATTAATAGCTTAATCTAAGGAACAGGGTCGATATTACTATTAGCCACAGTAAATTAGACAACTCAGAGAGTTTTTGCTGGGTGATGAAGAACAGAGCAGTGAGGGGCTGCCGTGCATCACCCATATTGCACTTTTTTGCCTTCCAGTGCACTGAAGATGTTGTACTATTGTCAGAGCTGACATATCATTTAGTTGTCAATCTGGACTGGAGGCAGCATAATGTCTTGAACTGGCTAGGATTTATTTAGCAATAAAATAAAATACAGTCAATGACAAGCAGGTTAAAAAAAAGGCAATTAAAAGAGAATAAAATACAATGAAAATGTAAGTGTAATACAAATAAAGACAAAGAGAATAAAGCCTAAAAAGAGAAAGAAAACTAGACAACGGAGAGTTGGTAACAAGATATCCACAGCATCAGAGAAAACCAGTATTCTTCTTCTGATTGAGATAGCAACTGACAAGAACTTAGCCACTCTTTTTGTAAGTGAGCTCTGATCTGGCTGGAGGCGATATACAACCTCTACTTCAGAATAGGATAGAGTTTTATGAATGAGAGGTGTTAAGGGGGTAGAGCGTAGGGTGCCATAGAAGAGACAGTGACAAAAAGTGTGGGCAAGGGTTTCAGGTTTATGCAAAATCACAAGGTCAGATTCTACAAGAAGGGTTTTCTGGCACCTACCCTCCAATATCTCTGTGGGAAAGATGTTGAAACACGCCAGGCAGTAAGTTCTGTGGTGCGTAACAGATGTGAGACTGAATAAATGCTTAACAGAAGCAAGTGGGTTCCGGTCTAGAACTCACTTGTGAGAATCACTAATAACCCCTAAGTCCATCTGCCAGGCTATATCATAAACTTGCTGGCAAATTTCTGCTCTGGATATCTCTAACCAACCCCCCCAAAACTGGGGAGATAGACCACAGAAACACAGGTTGTCCAAAATGTTTGTTTTCCATTATGAAGGAGAGTTGTCAGAATTAAAGGGGTCAGTGAACAGTTGGTAAAGGAAAGTTTTAACCAGTAAGACAGGTGACAAATGGGGGCTTTCTTCAAGGGGAGCCATTCAGAGCATTTAAGGCACAACATGGAATCTGAAAGTCAGTACACAGAAACTTGGAATGGACAATCTCTAGGGACTTAAAGGTGTTACAAATGATACTTGTAAAGCATCTGCAAAACAGATTTAGCCTTAAACAGTTTTATGGCAGCAGGGATGCACCCACTGCCCCTAGAGTGGAAAAAGTCAAGCCCAATATTGCCCTGGAGCTCTCCTTAGCAAGACAACTTTGTTTCCCCCAAGCTCCAGAGGCCTGGAATTCAGTGCCAATATACTGAAAGACAGAAACTTGCTCAATCTGATGGTTATCAATGTGCCAGCGGTATTTTTGGCATCTACGTCCCCTTGAGAATACCTTAATTTTAGTTTTAGAGTAGTTAATTGTGAGTTATTAACTGTGAGTAGTTAATTGTGAATTTTTCCTCCCTTCAAAACAGGGTTCCTCAACCTTGGCAACTTTAAGATGGGTGGACTTCAACTCCCAGAAATCCCAGAAGGCTGGCTGGGGAATTCTGGGAGTTGAAGTCTACCCATCTTAAAGTTGCCAAGGTTGAGGAACCCTGCTTCAAAAGTCTGCCAACGCCCAGAGACTTCTAAGGCCATCCTGAGCAAGTGAAAGGATGGCTGCAATGTCTGCATAAAACAGCACAGCAAGGTATCTCTCTTTGAGTTTGGGGGGGATGACATTCTTTTAGTTAGGGCTGCTATGATAGAATTCAAATGGAAGTTAAACAAAAGGGGAGCCAAGATACAGCCCTGTTTCACCCTTCACTTCTTGGGATATCTGCAGTGAGAGGCTAGGATTACAATTTCAATTTGCACTCAGAAACTTCAAGTAAGTGACTGTCATGCAACACCTTTGCTGTGGGAAGTGCATTAGCTAACGGTTTGTTTCTGAGTACAATTCAAGGTACTGATTAGATAGTGCCCCAAATGGCTCAGGGCGTGAGTATCTATGAAGCTACCTTCTGTCTGCCCAACTGGAATGAACAGATGCCTGCTGAAGGTCCCCACCTACTGAGAAATATGGCAGGAGGGGACCCAAAAGCAGACACTCCAAGTGGAGCTCCCCTCCTGTGGAACAGCTTACCTTCCAGAAACTGACAAAAACATGGTTATTCCAGAAGGCCTTTGGCATTGATAGGAAGAATTGGTAGCAGATGTGTTGATTTCTAATTATTAATTATAATGTTTAAAGTAATTTTGATATTATTGTATTTATTGCTGCATTGGCTTGTTGCTGTTGTTCTTTGTGAACCATCAGCTTTAATATTGAGATGGTTTAAAGGTTTTATAAATAAATAAAGCAAGCAATCAAAAACGAATACAGCAGTAAATATGTACATGGTTGTTATTCCATGAAGAAGTAATATTTAATAAGCTAATCTAGTGAAAGGTTCATCTTGTTTCTTGTAACAAATATTTTCCAGATTCACTAAACTTACTTTATTATTTAATTGATCATCCTGTTTGACAGCAGCAAAAATGATTACCTTTACTAAATCTTTATTTTCCATTAATCAACACATTTAAAATTCCTCTGGAAAAAGAAACTACCACAGATACAGGAAAAAGGCATCAAACAGAATCAGGGCATATAATTTTATTTAAAATGCTTTTGTTAAATATGTTTGACAAATCTTACAATATAGTATTTATATATATATTTGCTTCCAAAAGTATATTTTCTTTAAAATATATTTTTAAAATAGTGATATTTTAATATGCTGCACCCATTTATCCATCTTATGTACAAACAACCAAAGCAGTATGAAAATTAGTACAGAAATCGATCCAGAATCTGATAGGACAAGAATTATTTTAAAGATCAATTAACCACATTTGAAACATCAATATGTAATAAATAAATAAGTGTTTGGCGGCCACAAAACAATTTCTCAGTATTACTTCTAATCACTGAAAACAGAGGGTTAAGGATCTACAGACAGCACTTATTCAGTGTCACATCAGTTTAGAGATAAACTAATTTCTAAGAACACACACTGAACTAGAATGGACACATTTTGAATTGAGTTACATCCCTTCTGACTAAAATGACATTAACTAACTGTGCTATTTGCCATAACTACAACAGTATAACTATGGCTGCTGTTATCAGAATAGGCAAGATAGCAAAATGAGGAATATTCAAACTAGCTGTCTACAGATCAACCCCAGGATTACATAGTAAAGTCATATTCATATATAACAACAGCAACAAAAAGTATTAACAACCCAAAGATACTTTAAGATGGTTATATTGTAGAAATAAAATGAATGTCCATTTATATAAAACAAGCTAAACATATCAACTTAAAATAAAGATCCAACCTAAATATTAAAAAATGGCTTAAACAAGGGCTATAAGGAAAATTTAAAAGTAGTAAGAGTTACAGATCTCACATAAAACAAATACATGGCCTTAGTGAGCATTAATTTCCCATAACAGTTAAAAACTAAGCCTCTTTCTGGAGTCTCTGAATCCAGCATAAATGGAGCTACACATATACAAACTATCAATATTTTTCCAGTATTTGAAAATACCAGTTTTTCATGAGCTGACGTTTAAGCCAAAGAAAACATGATTTGCAAGTTGAAGTTAATTTTAAAATAATTGGTTTTTTAAGGAATGAATATTACCAAACCATAATATTGTGATTGGTTAGTTGCCCTGGGTTTTAAAAAATGGACATCAATGGTAAGTTTATATAGCAACTTGCCGTGATTATTCAAATTGTTCCTCATGGCCAGCCCATTGGAGGAATCTTTGACTTAAACAAGCATAACCTGCACAGAACAAAGAAATGTTGGATGAACCCATGAGTATATTTACTTGTAAATAATCTGCATCCAACCATCAGAATTCACTATAATGTAACTGCACACAGGATATGTCAATTGAGGTGCATGAAGTAGGATCTCTATTCTAATAATAGAAATCCTACTTCATGCACCTTAATTAACAGTTAACTGACCTATTAAACATTCTTCATCTTGTGACCACATTCTGCCAACTGATTCAGCAATTCATTAAAGACATGAGGGCTCCAATCAGTATATGGAACACCTTATATATGCAATGGTCTTCCCATCAGTTTCAGTGAGGAGAGCAGATCCACAGGTAAATATAAAATGAGTGTAATAGAAAAGGCCCTTAAATACAGCAGAGGTCAATTCAGGTATTTTATCAAGTGTAACATAGTCTTTACTGCTGAAATTTTCTAGCCACATTCACCATATCACAAGGAGTCAGGCTCCTACCTGTAATATAGGTCCTTTAAATATACTGCAGCTTATATAAGTAGAGATTAAATCACCTTAAAAATGTTTAACATATTTTTAAAAGACACAAAAATATTACTTAGCTCTCTTAGCTCTATTTTTTACCTATCTTTCTTATGAGCTTACCTAAGGCTAATGTTTCAATATTTAATGTTCCATAATGACCCTATTTATTAATATATGTTTTCCCTTAAATTTTGTATCAGAGGAAAACCCATGCCTGTATTTACAATTTAAACTTCCTTTTAAGGAATGTCCATTTAATTATCTATGTCTGAATACTATTTTCATGTCAAGGCTCAATGGGTAAAAAGTTCCATCATATTATTGTGTTGTAAATTAATCAAACACAGAAAATGATGCCGTTTGTTCCAAACATAAAATTCTTCATTTTCTGATAACTTATATCTTTTAAAATATGCCTATGCTACTGCTGCATAGTCACTGGTTTGCTCATTTTTCTCACTTTCTTGTGGACTGGTGATGGTGACTCTTGGGGCTGAGATTTTTTCATAATTGGTATCAACCTAGAAGGAAGAAAAAACGCATATGAATGTGTCATAGGTAGTATTTTGTTTCATAGTGTGTATGAGTGTTCATAATGATAAAGAAGCTCTGAACTCTGCAAATTGGAGGTCAGCACTGAGCATGCCAATTGCTTCCACTTATCAAAGTTCTAACGCTTCTCTATATGTATGGATTAACTTAATTGGATCACAACAAACACAATCTCTAGTGATAAAGCAACTAATCCACAATATACATAAGTGATCAGAAACAGAAATTTTCTTGCTAGTAAAAGAAATAGTAAAAATGAATAGGTTAGCATTCTCAATTATCTTGTAGAAATAAAAGGAATTGGACAACTGAAGATTAAGTTAGCTATATGATTAGCAAACAGTTTAACAAATGCATTAAATTCATTATTTGAAAAACAGTGTTGCTAATTCTAGTGTAAAACTGTGATCAGAATGCATAGAGGTGTTTTGCAGGTCATATCAAACATTCTTATATTACTGGATTCAGCATCCCTTATGAAAATACCACCAGTAGAAGAACCCACAATGAGAAGGCAAACAGTTTCTTTAAAACTGCAACACCAGGGATGATGTATATAGATTGCAGACTAACCTACTGCTATAGCAGACAAATGGAAGCATTTTCACACACGTACACAAAAAGCAAAGACATGTTACCTGGATTTGATCATCAATACCTTCTTTTGTTTCTTCTGGATGACTACTGGGATCCATTACCTCACCATTTTCTTCATTTGTGTTACCATGCAGGTGGCCATTAGCCTCTTCTTGTCCTGCTTGGTCAAGGTTCTGCCCTTGTAATTCATCTTCATAATGGTCATTCTGTTTCTCTTTGTCTTCTTCCATTCCACTGATATCTTCCCCAATTTCTCCACTCTGATCAGCATCTCCATTCATTGCTGAATATTCTCCTTGATTCAAAGCTTTATATTCTGGTGCTACATTTTCTTCCTCATCCACAGTTTCTGCTGGCCGCTGATGAATATAGGAAAAAAATGGTTTCCATACTCAGCAATTTTCATTGAAATAATCCAGGGAGAATTATGATAAATTAAATAAAAGGTAGAAAATATATGCACATTGCAGGATATGTTACTAAATTGCCAAAATTGAATCTGGACATCACCAGATGTGCAATACCAGAATGAAATCAACTACATATAGGAAACAGAGGATAGAGGACTACAAGCCAGTCAGTCAGAAGGCAATCAGATGCAGACTGCAGAACAGACCATGAATTATTAGTGTCAAATATATGGGTCAAATTTAGAAAATTAAAAAGATTTTGCCTGGAGGTTAAGAATATAAAATCAATGTAGGGAACAGATTCAGTATGCTTAACATGTGAAAGAACACCTACGAATATGGGAAGGGATAAATAACAGTTTTTACAATGTAAGTAGAAGTAATTGTAAGTAGAAGTAGAAAAAAATATTCTCAAGATTTCAAAGAAAAAAAGATCCAAGTGGCTTTCAGAACAAGCTGTTATGTCAAAACAGAGGTTAAAACTCCAGGAAAAAGAAGGATTTACAATGACTAAATGCAGACTTCCAACATCAAGCAAGAAAAGATTATAGTATTTCAGTCAAGAATGTCAACAAATAGAGGAATATAACAAGAAAAGGGAAATGAAAGAACTTTTTAAGAAGATTAAAGAAATCACAGGAAAATTTACAGTTAGGATAGAAATACCCAACAGTAATCACAGAAAAATCTAATAGAGGCAAACATTATTAAGAAATGTCAGAAAGACTGTACAGATCCTTCACCAACATGGTGTTAAATAACAGAAATATTTGCAGGGAGAGAATATATTCAGAAATCAATTCCATTAGAAACTGTGATAAGTCAGACAATAGGTCAGATCGGATATCAAGTAGGAAAACACCCACTGAACTGTTTAAAGTGGCAATGGGCCTGTTAAAGTACTAGCAGTGCTATGTCAACAAATATGAAACAAGACTCTGTAGCCTAGAGATTGGAAAACATAAAAACATAAGAAAAAGAGCAAATTATTCAATCACTGCACTAATTCCTCATGTCAGAAACTTTTGCTTAAAATCTTACAGAAGGAATAGAGAATGAAATACCAAATGAACAGTAAAGTTTCAGACAAAAGATGGATAATGAAAAGAGCAAGATAATATAAAATGATAGGTTATCTTTGTTTTATTGGCTACATGAGTTTTCTGACTGTGTAGACCATGTCAGAATACTGAATAGGCTAATAGGTCAGCTAGAGCACATAACTATTCTTTTGAAGAACTTTTACAAAGAACAATACAATACTGTACAGTATGAAATGAATTTGGGGACACTGAGTAGTTCAGAATAGGGAAGGGAGACAGTGAAACAGACATATCTGTTTAAAGTATATAATAAATATATTATAAATATGGCAGGATTGGAAGAGATGACAGCTGGATCAAACAGGAGGCGGGGACAAAATATTGAGATATGCAGACATTACATTTTGAGCTAAATATAAAGACATAGGAAGGCTCATTATGAACAAAAAGGAGGAGATAAAAGGTATATGCATAGTAGGGTGTTGATTTGGGTAAAATATCACACCCACCCCAGTGCTGTCCCTTTGTTCCTTAGCAAATGTGACCATCTTTCAAAACAACACTGGACATTATTGCTATCTTATGCATAGCTCTCCACCGATACTATTGTAAATTGATATCTGCTTGTCTATCTTTCAAAGTTTATACTTCTAACAAAACATCTTGATTTTCTCAGTACCGGGTAATGCATTCTTAGGCTGAAAGGATATGTATTTATCCCTGATTTAAGGGGGAAAGCTCCGTTTTCAGTTCTGCAAACTTGCTGCCATTTTTGTTAAAAAAAAAAAAAAAATTACTCAATCCCCAAGTGATCAAATTTAAGCTGTCAAAAACTATCCAGAAGAAGGGCTGAGTTACCTACAAAGCCTGATAATCTGCCAAAAGAAAAGAAATCACTCAGATTTCCTCCTCTAATGCTGCATCAAGATGCGGTTCTTTTAAAAGCTACATTTTCTCTTCCCCATCCCACGCATTAAAAAATGAGTTATTGCCTAGTTTCACTATCTTCTTCCTAGACCCCAGCAGCCTTCACACTGGTACACTTCCAAAGCATGTAGTATGAATGTGAAAGTGCTAACTTAATTAAAAGGTGGCTGTTTAGCTAAACTTTTGAGGTTACCTGGTCAACTGGGACCTCAGTTTGAGTGTCTTCATCTTCCTGGACTTCTGCTGCCCCTCGCATTTCAAATCGCTTTTCTCCAGCTTTGTAAACACCATCATCTAAAAGTGGAAAGAAGCAGAGTCCATTTGTGACACAGTGTGGTAAAATGACCGAACTGCATCTCAGGACAGCCTGAAAAAGCTTTGTGAACTTGATTTTCATTTGTCACAATTTACTGACCTTATGCATTTAAAATGCCAACTCATTGATTATCTTTTGCATTATAACTATGTCAGCATTACTAATGCAAAAGTAACTTGAGGCTGTTTCCTCATCAAAATTACACTTCTGATTTTCCAAACATATATACTGACATAGTTACTCATGAAAACAATGTACATATACTGCATGTATTAACAGTTTTATCAGTATAAGGACTTATGGAGAAACTCTGTATCAGTGTCACTTATACATATGAATACAATCCTTGAGGTTTTCCTTGGGGTTTGCTTTATTCATTTGATCAATAAAGCCTCAAGAAGGCAAGACATCACTGATGACACAAGCATAAACTTAGAGGAACTCAAAGAAGCACTTACTATAAGACAATCCTGGTGAAAGTATGTCCATTCAGAATGACTAAATGAATGAACAAGTGGTAGTTTACTATAACCATCCTAATAAAATAATTGCAAGCAAATCTACTGTTGAACTACTTGAAAACCATTTTCAGATTTAATAGAAATAAAAATTGTATTTATTATATATTTTATTAATTGAATTATCAATACAAATTGTTCTCTAGCTAGTAAAAATATTTTTAAAATGATAGGCCTGGCTGAGAAGAAAAGAATAACTTATCTGATATACATTTAGAAAGGAGAGGCAAAGACAAATATATTTTAAGCTTCTTAAAAGCTATAAAATCTGCCTCTTGCCTTTGAAACTTAACAAGAATACAGGAGAGGACTTTGCAAAAGTGTACTGAAAGTGGTTGTGTACAGGTTCTAGCACAAAGCATAGCTCCCCTTTGGGAAATATTTGGCTACTAGGTGAAAAATAACTATTCAGTCAGGCCTTTGGACTGTTCAGCTGATATCCCTGTTTTATTACATTATATGTTTGTTAATTTTTGCCTTGCACGAAGGTGTACATTTAAATCAGCATGTCTCAAAATGTGCATCAAGGTAATAGATGGAGGATCACCAGAAACGGCCTTTGTCACTAGTTCTTTCTGAGTATGTTGAACATGCATGTTGCTTTGCATCCAACAGCATGTTGAATGCAAAGTGACCTAACAGTTCCAAAGACCTGTATAGAGCCTGTCATTTATGTTTCTTAACATACATCACTTTTCAAAGGAGGAATAATGCCTGGAGAGCACAAGGCCTCTATGTAAAGCTCTGATCATCTGACCTGATGCTCACTCTACGGAGGAAATGACAATAGAGGGGAAGAAAGGAGAGCTGATAGACTGCAGCAAGGAGGAAATTGCAAGTATGGTAGAGAGTGTTATAAGCAGCAAGCAGCAAGCTGGAAAAGAAAGAAAATAGGCTGCAACTGGCATTACACTGGGGCTGCACTGGGAGAAAGAGTGCAAAAAGCAACTTCCTGCCTGCATTTTGCAAACCACAACATTTAATACCGTTTTTCCCCTCTAACATTTTTCATTTATTTCCAATGAGAGTTTTATTTTTATAGTTTTTAAAGACCAATCACTGTTTGATATATAGATTAAAATTTAATTGTTAACAGTATATTTCTTGATCAATTCTAACTCCAATTAATCATAACTTTTATTCATGGGGTGGTGTTATGCAAATTCATTTTGTCATTTTAGGGGGTCAGTTTTGCAAAGTTTGAAAAAACCCTTATTAAAATAATAACTATAGCTAAACACAAACTGAATATAAAGCAATTAAGCAATATATGTCATCTATCAGCAATTCATGCAGCTCATATAAAATGCTTCCAAATGCAAGCTCCTCCTTGATTGACACTACCATTCCCAAAATTCCCAGCCTGGCTGTGGAAGATTGAAACTAAAGTTTTAAATCTGTATGCTGTGTTCATCTGTCTTATGAATGAGATTCTTGAATATTAGATTTTAAATGTAAAGACCAATGAACCAAATCATGACACATCACACACTCTAAGTTATAGCATGCTATGGTGCTGTAAATTGCTGCTACTTTTTATAATGTACCTATTGATTAATTAATGGATTTATCTGAGATGTTAGTGGCCATTGAGTCCGCTGAGAAAGGCATTTTAAAATAGAGTATCTGCCTACAGAAATCTGTCATTCCCAGTAATTTCAGTGTTTAGAGGTAACCCTTTCTGCTTACGTAGCCAAAATAGTACTGCCTACACAGAAGACAAAAGATATCAACCAGTCTTGGAACAGCCATGAAGTTTACAAAAGTACAAAAAACAAAAAACCCTCTATAAAATATTATCTTCCACCTCCCCCCAAAATAGCTTGAGTGAGCTTAGTCACTAGAAAACACTGGCTCACCCTTGTGAAGAGATATGGGAAAAAATGCAGTCTGTGACAAGGGAAATGTACTGCAATATTTTTTAAGAAACTCAGCAGGTTGCAGCACCAGGTTGATCTAGCCTGGGCTCGGGATTGAAGCAGGGTTAGTGTTAGGCCTCATTATTACTCAGATGGAAGGCTACCAGGGAAAAGTAGGGCTGTAGACTAGACTGAAAAGTTAAAAAGAACATCCTTGAAAGAAGACTCTGGCAAACCACTTTCATACTGTTGCCAAGAAAATTGCATGGATGTGTTCATGAAGTTACAAGTGGTCAATGACTGAAAAGGCAAACAAGAACATTCCATACTGCAGGCTGAAAAAGAACAATGAAAAAGCCGGGGGCCATACTGTTAGGTTTAACAGAAATAATTTGGTTTAAAACCTTGAAATTCAAGACATTTTGAGCAATTGAGAAAGGCAGAGCATGAGCAGGGGGATCTGAAGCAAGCTGTGATTTGACAAAACGATGACCCTTCTATTGTGATGTCACAACTCAAGATCTGCCTCTTACATACTTGAATGCAACATCCCACTGCAAGTATAAAAGAGGCAGAGAAAGAGAATTGCATTTTGTAATTTTCTTCCCTTTGGTTCCCTCTCTGGATGACAATGAGCATGAGAAGCATGAGAAGGGGAGCAAGGATTATTCTTGTTGCCTGGAGACATAGAAGAGATAAACGTGGCTATTTAGCACCTTCAAGTAACTGAGTCCTACATGAAAATATAATAGGAACCATTTGGAGGTTAAAGCAATGTACACCTTCCAAGGATAACTGCTTTTTTTTTTAACAGTAATTTTATTAAAAATAACAACTACAATGATTAAAAAAAACCTAATACAAACTAAAAAAATAAAAAATAGAAGGTGCAGAAAAGAAAAAGAAAATATAAAAAATGGAAAAGGAAAAATAAGAATGTAGTAAACAAAAAGAAAATAAATATATACAGAAGTGACTTCCCACCTTCATCACAAGTATAAACAATTCTAGTAACTTCTCACCTTCTCTTAAAATACAACAAATGATCTCTTCTTCCCATGTCCCATCTCTTATCTATAAACAAATCCATTAAACCTCAACATTTCAGTCCTAGTGTCAGCAAGTCCATTAAGAGTTACCAGAGATAACAACATATCTATATTAACCTTGATCAAATAAACCAACTCTATATTCCTTCCTTTTACTTCTAACAATTTTGATCTTCAGTCCCTTCAAATAATTCGTAGAACTTGATTTCTTTTCATTTTTTCTTTGTCCTGTCTCACAAAATTCTTCAAAGCTTCCTCATTTATAAATCCAATATAGGAAAATTATCCAGGTCACTCTCTTGGTTTGTTATTTATATATCCCTTTTAATTATTAAGACATCAGCTGGTTTCTTTTGTGTGTCCAATATTTTATCATGTCATTTTTGTAGCCTGTCATTTTTAAATCCACTTTAAAATGAGTCTCAATCTTGTCAGGTAAAATTTGTTCCTCTTCCATAACATCTTTTAAACACAGTCTATCTGTAGAGGCAGACACTCTTAAAATTAACTTCTGGGTCC